GCAGGGAACACTGATGGCCAGAAGCACTTTTCATGCAGTAGGGCATTCTGAGACCTTGGAGAACCCGGAAGTAGTCCAAATCTAAAAGACAGGGCAAACCCTGCCCTCTTCCCCTAGGTTCACTTCAGTCAAGAGCTTTTGGAGGTGACATGAATTTTTGTTTTTATTTTGGAGACAGGGTCTCACTCTGCAGTTCAGGTTGGTCTTGAACTCACTATGTAGCCCAGGGTGGCCTCAAACTCAAAGCAATTCTCCTGCCTCAGCCTCCCGAGTGCTGGGATTACAGGCACACTCAAAACCAGGAACTTTGCTTAACGTGTCAGAGACTATTTCAGACCTTTCAGTTTGTGCCTTTCTCCTACCTATCTCTAGCTGAAATAAGGGCAGGTTTTGGACGCTTTGCATGTGACTTGGGGAGGGAGGGCCCACGCTTGCAGTGATTGGGCATTTTACTAGGCGTGATTGGAATCATCCCTCCCCCAGTATAGCAACCTTTAAGAAGAGAGTCCTTTAGTTTATTGCTTCTTTTAAAGTAATTTTTAAAAAGCATTGATTTGCAGAAAATAGGCTCCTAAACAAAGTCAATGTCCAGCCCTCGTGCAGTTTAAATTTTTACTCCTTTTCAGAAGAGCAGTTATAAGATGGGCTAGGTGGTTGTTGTTTACTCTTGAACTATCCTGAGTCTTCCACTGGATCACCCCCTTCTCAGTAGGGGAGCAGCCAGCTCACACCGAGGGGCCTCTGTACTGAGGGTTTGCCTGGTGCTGTGAATGTTTCACACAGCTCTTCCCAAAATCATAAAGACTTTCGTTTTCTGACTTATTCAGTAATCAGAAGACTGGGTGCAGTGGTGCGCACCTGTAATCCCAGCTTTTACACCCTGTAGACCTTTTCCTAAAATACAAAAAAAAAAAAAAAAAAAAAATCAGAGAAGTTTGGATTTTAATTCCAGAAATATGAGATGCTCTTTTCTATCAAGGGGCGTGAAGGGTGACTTCAACTACATAAAAACTACCTTCTAAAATGGTATCTTCCTACTTTACTCATGACCCCTTCGAAAGCTGGGGTTCAGGGACTGACATCTCTGTGATTCAAAATGAGGCTATGACCTCATACCCCTCTCAGCTATCTGCAATAATAGAATCCACAAATAGGACCTAAATATCACACTCCCTGAAAGTTCTAAAGTCCTGTCCTATCAAGACCTTTGTCAAAATTGCTGAAAACCCAAACAGGAGGAATTAAGAGTTTCGTTTCCTCCTCTTTGCCTTGGAGGTGCTAAGCGAGTGCCCTGCTCAGCCAGAAGCAGAGAAAGGAGAAGCAAGGTCTGCTACCATCATAAAGAGGGACTCCACTACCCAGAAATACAGGCACCCCCTGCTGCCACGCTGTGCCCAGAACTGAGCCACCCCACTGCCAGGAGGCAGCCTCGCTGTTGGCTGTGTCCCTCCTCAGTACGCTCTGAGCAGGTGCCACGCCAGCTCCAGGGGAACTGAGGTGAAAAAGCAAAGGTCTTCTCCTCCAGGGGCAGCTGAGCTCAGCCCAGGGAACATGCCACAAATCACAGCCCCCTGCTGTGGACTTCCCAACTGATGCCTCACTTCCCCTGGTACTTGGTGGCATCTTGGTTTGCTCCTCTGGTGACAGCCGGGAAGCCACTCACCACCCTGTGACATCGCCAGGCTGATAGAAGCTAATGGAGGATCAGCTCCCCGCACCAGGCTAGCGGACGGTCACAGTGCCCAGTTCCCTCCTTTTCTCTCCGTTACACACCATTGTTTCTTATGCCATTGTAGACGTGAAGCTGGCTTACGGTAGCGCCCTCTTAGCCGGATGTTCTCCTGCCTGCCCCTGACTACAGCTACTGAATGATTTCCCTCAGTATTTTTTCTTCTCACCATTTTTCATGGCTCCCTGCTCCCCACCCCCACAGGAACCCTGCCCTGCCATCTCCCCAACCTTGTGTGTGTGTGTGTGTGTGTGTTTGAGACAGAGTCTCACTATGTAGCCCACGTTGGCCTCAAACTCACAACAATGCTCCTGCCTCAGCTTCCCGAGTGCTGGGGTTACAGGTGTGCACCATGACATCCACACCTACACCAGCCACCTGCCACACGGCACACCTGGTGACGTTTCTTCACATCCTCTGTCCTTACTCAACCCGTTCGTCTGTGGCTCTTGTCACCAGTACCTTCTTTTTTTCTTTCCGTCAACACATTTGCCCTCCCCTCTTCCTTCTCTTCTTTCCTTCATCTCCTAAAATTCCTGGCTCCCGCCCGACTTCTAATTCTGTACCTAACTACTTTTTTCTTTCACTTGGCTTATCCTACATTATTTAAACTTGATGCATTGTCTCTCTCTTCACAATGTTTTCTGGGATCACTCTGTCAATTCCAACAACATAGAAGAAAACCATACGATTGGCTTCCTGGATTACTGGGCTGCGGGTTCCGTCTCTTCCTCTCCAGTACAACGCAGCGAGGGTCTAACTGTTACTTTCCATTGTGTAATTTACAATGGACTCTCCCTGACAGCTGAGCCTACTATGATCTTTGTGGGAAATTAAAAACAGAACAAATGTCGTTATCTTCACTTACCGTTTAACAAGCACTGGAGGTTCGATAATTCACCCAAAGTTTTGAGGCCAAAAAGTAGGAGGAGCGCTGGGACCCACGCACAAGTCTTGGCTGCTCAGTCCCAGGCCTTGGAGTGTGAAGTGGCTCCTGTTCCTGTATTACTGGCCCCACTCTGAATATGTGTCCTAGCTGGTCAGTGTTGTTGGTGGCCTGATACTAGAGGTCATTGAGGTGTCAGTTACAAGACCAGATTCGAATAGGGATTGAGCCTCTTCGAACCAGTTCTGAGGACCTTGTTGGGAAGAAAGGCAGAACCAAGGATCCATGCCTTTTTCATTCAACTGACTCAAAGTTTAGAGGTGGAACAGTTTTTAATCCTCATTTTTTCAAACTGGTTTTTAAAGAAAGTAGGATTTCTCTTGGAGGCTAAGAAAAGAGGCAACACCTCAGAGGCTCGCTTGGGAGCCATCTGCACGGCATTGCTTGGGCAGAGTTCACAGTGGAAGCTGTAGGTCAGAGCTGGTTGACATCTGGCCACTGCCTAGGAGGACCGAGGCTGGGACTCTGAAGAGCAGGGCTCTGCTCTCTGTTCTGTCCCTGCAGGCCTCAGGCTCCCGTGCTCCATCCATCCCACAGAGGGGTCGAGTGAGAAGGTCCCCGAGGTCTCCTCCGGCTATGACATTCTGGGAGTCTATAAATAGCAAAGACACCAGACAGGTGCGAGCCGGCCGCCCCGTGGGAGCTCACACCTGTCTCTCCCCAGGCCTTCCGCCCCTCACTTCCAACAGTGCCAACTCCAGGCCCCGTCAGGGTCAAGTTGCCAGTTCTGAAGCCGTTCAAGGACAGTTGTCCTTCCGCCGGGGGCTCCTTCCAGCCTGCAGTTGGCCTCCTTTCCACTCTGGGCAGCACTGTGTCCCTCAGTCCACCGAGTTTGCATTGCCACTAATTCATTTCTGCATCTTTGCTTTTAGATTAAAATTACTCACAAGAACCAAGCGCCCATGATGATGGGGCCGCCCCAGAAGAGCAGCTTCTTCTCATTGCGGAGGAAAAGCCGTTCAAGAGACTAGACTGTGTGTCAAATGCCAGCTAAGCCAAGAGAGAGAATGAGAAACTGTACCTACACTCACATACACACACACACACACACACACACACACACACACAGCAATTTCCCTTCTGGAAGAAAACTTCACCTTGCCATACAATCTATTTCAACAATGGAAACACCCCTAACAGAACCAGTTCCACGGGACATTTCACATATACTTAGGGCTGCAACAAGCCCACAGCCCCACAGACCCCGAGCAGGACTTGCAGAGTGTGAAGGAGAGCTCGTTCTGTCTGTGCAACAGCCCGCATGTCTCCTGCCCACGCCAACAAGGAGCCGGCTGCAGGACTCCTGCCCACGGTGAGCTCTCAGATGTGGTCAGGGCCAAGAGCGCGGCACCAGAGAATCTGCACAAAGGTCCCTCTGTACAGAGACAGCGGCCTCCAGCCCTCCGCGCAGGATCCTTGGCGAGGCTCAGCAGCCTACGACGGTTTCTCGGTTGTCCTGTGAACGACAACCTCTCCTCAACTTGCTGAGGCTGCAGAAAGGCCAGCTGCCTCAGGCTGCATTTCCATTCTCGGTTCCCCGTTTCCCCAGCCCTCTCCTGGTGGCTGCGTGTTTGTTTAGAGTCAGCTCCAAGAGCTCCAGGGCTGCCTGCACAGCACGTCTCAGATGTGGTATTTATTTTCTTACTTCTGTGGACACCTGGGAGGGAAAGCAGAGAAACTGGGATTTATTTTTCAAATCGGTGTCATAATGGTGTATAAAAAAGGGAAGAAGAAAAAACATCCCAGCTCTTTCTGCCCCACCCCCACCCCCAGGTCCAAACTTGTTTCCGGTTGCAAGCCCTGGTGGCAGTCTATTCCCAAAGGAGGAAAGGTGAGAAGAAGGGACCCCGTTGGGGGAAAGCAGACCATAATAGCCTGTCAGGTGGTTCCCTGTACCCTTGACACCTCCCGTTGTCTCAATATGACCCGAAGGACCTTCAGATGGCCTTACGTGTATATATATATATATGTAGCATGTATATTTATATATAATACATAAATATTTATTTACTGATGAACTTTTCCTGATTGGAAATAAGTGTAGGTACGACAGGAATAGAAAGTGGGCAAGAAAAAGGAGGCTCTCATCTGCCTCGCCATTTCATTGTTAAGACATGGTTCCCTTGGCCAACCGCAAGGCAGGCCGGCCTCAAGGCGTAAGAGGAATGAAAGGAGCTGCTTAGCATGAAGAAGACACCTACTGTGCGTCCTCGAAACAATCACAAAAGCGCTGCTGGGCAGGATTTACTCTCCCACTTGTCAAATATGGAAACGGAATCTCAGAAAAGTGCAGAGATTCTGATGGCTGATGTGGTTCAGAAGGAAGAACCACTAAGCTATTTGTTGGAGGGAAGACCTCACACACCTGGGAGTGGAGTCGCTTCCGGCCACTGTGCAAGGATGCTACTTGGATCCAGGCTTCTAGAGAGACACAGATGTGCAGCACATGTGCAGAAGGGGCAGATTCACACGAGCCCGTGAGGCCCCGGGAAGGCCTCCCAGTTCTCTTTGGACTGAACTGGAGGAAAACGGAAGCTCTGAGCTAAAGACACTAGATAGTCACACTGAATGTGCCACACTGCATGACCCTCCTCTTGGTCGCCAGAGTCTCTTCATTTGGAGAGTCCCTGGCTGCAGGCGGCAGTAGCCCCAGAAGAGAGTCCTGAGGAGGACTGAGCGCCTTGTGCAAGATGCTTCCAGCCAGGACAGTGGGGTCTCACAGCGTGCAGGGGGCCGCATTCAGATGGTGCCAGCAACACCCTTCTTTCGCAGGAGTAGCCCTGTACAGCACTTCATTGGCACAAAGCACTATGTTCTTGGCCTCTGGGCTCACTTGGGCCTCTATCCCTCCCTCAGATTTCTCAAGTCCTGGGCCCACTTGACACCACCCCACTGAGCTGCCTCTAGTTTCCTTGTACTGGGCCAGGAGCTCTGGACAAGGAAGGCACAGGAAGATGGTGTAATGCAAACTGGGTCTACCTCTGAAGTGCTCATCTAGTAGTACCATCTGGGACTGAGATCTGGAATCATCCTACTCGGTCCAGCAGTGCTGACTGCAGAGAAAAGCGAATCCAGGCCACCTAATGCATACCCTTCCTGATGGCATCCTTGGTGACGGGACTGCCAGCCTCCAGAATGATGACAGGTACTATCGCAGAAGCCACCTGGTTGTGAAAATGAGACAGGTTCAGAGGTAGGGCAGCTTTTGTGTAGATTTCAGTCCTGATCTCCCAAGATGAAGGCTACGGAGACAGCCTGCTCTCAACAGGTGAAATTATCCTCAGACACAAGTCCCAGGCAGGGGCCATGCCAGGATGGCTTCCACCCACTCCACCCCAGTGAGCACATCTTGAATACTGCTGGAGAGATATACCTGAGTCCCCTGAGAGGAGCAGAGTGGAACAAACTTTAGAGGCACTAACTGCCTAGTCAGTGACTTCAGCAAGTCTCATGTTGTTGTTTAATCTTACTTTGCAAATCAGTTTTAAACACCATGACTGCAGGTGCTCACTGTGAAGTGCCTCAGCAGAGTGGTCCCCACAGCAATAATGGAGGTTCACAGAGAAGGTTTATTATCTCAGTCGTGACAAGGAGAATAAGATTTAAAGAGGCTTAGTAGCCAGGCATGGTGCACACACCTGCAATCTCAGCACTCAGGAGGCTGAGACAAGAGGATTGTTGCAAGCTCAAGACCAGCCAGGGCTGTAAAGTGAGCTCAAATCCAACCTGAGCCATGTAGTGAGACTCTGTCTCAAAAAGACAAAAAGAAAACAAGGCTTAGTGACGTCTCAAAGCCGCATCCTTCGGTAATCAGGGGAGCGCCCAGTCCGTTATGTCTCGTCTTACTCTGGTTCTTACTATGCCATGGACTTGTTCTCACCTGCCTTTGAGTCTCACCCCACTAGAAATAAAACACAGTGAAACAGGAAATCTTCAGGACGTCATGTTGTCCCTGGACCGATGGGCTAGGAGTTGCGTCTCATTGTTGTCTGTCTTTGTGGGGTTTCCCCAGTGAGCTGAGAGTGGAGGTAGACTTCGTGTGACGATTACACGCAGGTCAGAGCTCAGCTTCTCTCAAGAGCGTTCTTTTCACAGATGGAAAAGATACGTTAAAATTGCCAAATAAATTAGGAAATACTTGGCAGAACCTGGAAGAGCCTCCAGACTGACATTACATAACATGCATATACATTATACATATGCACATTATATAAGGTGACATAGTACTTAATGTGCTGTATATATTATGTAAATTACATATTTGTGAGTAATCATGATAAATATAGAGACCCACTAATCACTTTTTTTACACATACTCAGTGACAGATTAGGAAGTTACTTTGCCAAAGAGTCTTAAAACTTACTCTCTCCTTCTGCTTTGGTTCCAATTCCTGCCAAAAATAATTGCATCAACTCTTCCAATCTCGAACCCTCTCTTCTCTTGGCCAAAACTCTCAGTTACCTCCTGTCCCAGCCAGGCTCTGCCTTCCGTGCACTACTGCCACAGGATCCATAGCAATAGAATCATGGGGATGGAAGGATCCAGGCCCCTCAGATTCCCTGTGTCATAGGCCTATCCCTCAACATGCCCAGGCAGGTGGGTACCCGGTGCCAACTTTCAAGGAGGCATGAGGGCCGAGGAAGGGGAGGGAGACAGAGTCAAGCAACCATCCAAGAAGCAAGTGCCGCATTATTCAGCCAGCAGCTCCGGGATCCAATACTAATCAATCAGAAAAGTCTTCCATACATTTGCTCTTAGACCTCGTAGCATATCTGAAACCATGATATCCTAGAACTGTCTTACTGGCATACATAAAACATTCCATAGGAAAAAAGGTCAAGTCTATGGTCAAGTGCTATGTCCCTACTACTGTTAGGAGACACAGAAACTTGGAAAACTCACGGGAGAGAACCTCAAAGGCCTCTGTCAGTGTCCATAGATTAGGGAGCAGCACCTTCCACCCACCACTATTTGTCCTCGGTGGAGACAGGAACATGCAGATAACCACTCTCTTCAATAACATTCCAGATAGTTCTTTTCTAGAACAAGAAGCTTCCAGCTTGCAGACCTTTTGAGGTGGTTTGCTTGTTTGTTTTGTCTTTTGCTTGTTTTTGAGAGAAGGTCTCACTGTGTTGCCCAGGTTGACCTTGAATTTGGGGGTTCAAGAAATCCTCCTGTTTCAGCCTCTCTACTATATGGGACTATGCTGTATGTGCCACCATACCCAGCTCTGTCTTATTTCTTCTCTGTGGTTGTGTGACTTTATTGTTCTCTGTACATTTTCGAGCAAGGATCAAGCATCAGTCTAGATGAAGGACGGAGTAAAGGGGAACGTGATTGGTACCAGGTTGAGACTTCATCTGTGTAGCCCCAGGGAGCAGAACAACATCTAAAGAATACAGTTGTGGGGAGGTAGCATTTCTTTTTCTTTTTGGCAGAACCAGGATTGAACTCAGGCCCCTGCGCTTGCCAGGCAAGCATTTATTCCACTGAGCCATCTCCCTGACCCCGGGAGGTAGAATTTCATTCAAGCAGTTACTACTCTTGGGCCGGGCCTGACACGGCAAGGGCTGCTGGGATGTGTGTCTGGTGGCGATGAGTACCCACCTGCTCTTCTAGGAGGAGCTTTAACCGGGCTGGGTGGAGCATAAGCTGCAGCTGAATTCCCTTGCCCAAAAAGCTGCCAACACTGTTCTGTGGTCATCAACGTGAAATCAGCAGATGTCCACATTCCTTGTGAGTCACATTTCTTGTGAATGTTTATTTGCTGAAAGAATGATAAATGCCTCCAAGAAAAATTTCTAGAAAAGTGTGCACTGGCCAGTTAGACCAGACCTTCACCTCCAGGACTAACCTGCCTCACGCAGGGCAGCCGTGACAGCCGTGCACTTTCCTCATGGCTCCTAAGAGCGGGAGGAATGGTGACACTACAATTAGAACCCAGAAGGGTTGCCATCTGCGCTGGGCCCCATATTAGTATGTGCAAATCTTTTAGTCGAAAATGTAAGCCGTACATCAGACATGAAATAGCAAGGGAAAAAACTACCCCACACCTCAAATATCAATCAATTTTTAAATAAAACCAGGGAACAGAGTCATACAGGCTTTCATATGGAGCCGTTGCTTTTAGTTCAACTGATGTTCTACCGTATTGGAATGCATCTTTCAACATTTGGTCGTAGAATGAAAGCAGAAAAGGAAGATAAGAAAGGTAATTCCCATTCACTGCTTCCGAGGTGCCAGTTACTATGTCAAGATCTTTTTATGTACTATTCCTTTTTATCTTCAGAACAGCCTATGAGGCACACATTGCGTTTATTTCACAGATAAATGACTTGGTACCTAGGAACTTGAAGGGCTGTGTCCCACAGCTAGCAAGTAGAAGACCAGGACTTGACACGTGTCTACGTTACATCAAAATATACACTTTTCACACCATATTTTAATGCTTTTAGCATTCTTGCCTGTTCTACCCCTACTAGTGTCTTGGGTGAAGTTATATGACATTAACAAATTGATGTTCTGT